GGGACTGGTGAGATGGGGGCTGGAGAAATGGCTCAGTGGTAAAGAGTGCTTACTGCTCTTACAGAAGACCAAGGCTCAGTTCCCAGTACCCACATCAGCAGGTTCACAACTGCCTGTAACTCCAGTTCCAGGGGATTTCATTCCTTCTTGCCTTCATGGCCACCCACCCACACATGGCAAATAAATAAATACATACATACATACATACATACATACATAAATCAAAGAAGAAAAAAAGAGTACACAAAGTTATCAGAAAAAAGTGATGGGGAGATATGGGAGGAGTTGGAGGGGAGGAAGTGGGCATGGATTTGATCAAAACACTTTATATGCATGTATGAAATTCTCAATAAATTATTTATTAAAAAAAAAACTGTAGGTCTCATCTTTTGGATTCTGATGGGTTGAATTTTATCGCTTCCAAAAAGGATACACTCAGGTCCTAACTTACGGTAGTAGAACCTCAGAATGTGACCTTCTTTGGAAACCACTGCAGATATAATTAGTGAAGATGAGCACATACTAAAAAAATCCTCAACAAAATAGTAGCAAACCAAGTTCCATAGCATATTAAAAAGATACACCATGATCAAGTGCAATTTATTCCTGGAATGCTAGGGTGGTTCACTCTATGAAAAGTCATTAATGCAATATACCACTCTACCAGAAAGAAGGACAAAAATCACATGATCATCTCAATTTATACTAAGAGAGTATAGGCATTTGACAAGATTGAATTCCCTTTCATTAAAACATTCAATAAATTAATTTAATCCCAGCACTCAGGAGGCAGAGGCAGGCGGATCTCTGTGAGTTCAAGGCCAGCCTGGTCTACTTAATGAGTTCCAGGTCAGCTGGGGCTACAGGGAGGTCCTGTGTCAAAAAGACCAAACAAAAAAAAGAAAGAAAGAAAAAAAGAAAAAAAGAAAAAAAAGAGGCCTGGAGAGATGGCTCAGCAGTTAAGAGCACTGACTGCTCTTGCAGAGGATCTGGGTTTGATTCCCAGCACCCACATGGTGGCTATGAACTGTCCTCAACTCCAGTTCCAGGGGAATCCGAAGCCCTCTTCTGACCTCTGCGGCATTGTATGACATGGGTGCACTCACATACATGCAGGCAATACACTCATACACATAAAATAAAAATAAAAAATAAAATATTAAAAAAAAAGATTGCAACCCTATGGTTTGGTTTTTTTTTGTTTTTGTTTTTGTTTTTGTTTTTTGTCTTTTTGAGACAGGGTCTCTCTGTAGCCCTAGCTGGCCTGGAGCTCACTATGTAGACCAGGCTGGCCTTGAACTCACAGAGATCCACCTGCTTCTGCCTCCTGAGTGCTGGGATTAAAGGCATGCACCACCACATCCGGCCGCAACCCTATGTCTTAAAGATGCATAGACCCAGGTCAAAGACCAAAATTTAAAACAAAATAAATGTTTTCCAAGAAAAAAAAAAAAGCAAACAAAATGATAAAAATCCCTGCAGTAGACCATTTAGATATTAATTCTACAAAGAGGGAGGGCTCCAATACCACCATTTGGCCACAAATCAAATTTCTACATTCCCCTGTTTTCAGGAAGTCCTCTTGAAGAACCAAGTACAAACATGAAAGATTGCCCAAACAAGTTCTACAAGTGTGCAGAGAACACTGAGTTCTGGGCTAACCTCTGGAACCTAATCTGGACCTTGGATGAGAATGGAATCTTGAAGTAGCTCTTCCAGTGGAGGGGACACAGAACCAGCTTTGAGGATAGACCAGCTAGAAGCAAATGGGGACAATGCTGATCCCTTGATCTGCATTTTTTTAAAAATAATTTTTGTTGATTTTTTGGGGAATTTCATATGATACATTTTGATCATATTCTGACCCCCTCTCGGGTATTCTTCCCCATCTCATCTCCTCTCAGACCCATCCCATCCTTCTAAGGCCCCTCATTTCAAGTTCCCAATTACTTTTTAAGGTCTATCAAGTCTAATTTATGTTCCCCAAATGCACTTGCGTATTGGTCTAAACTTACCCTTAAAGAAAACAGACTCTCCCACTCCCAGCAGCTATCATTTGCCAATAGTTCCTCAGCTAGAACTGGAGCTTACTGCCCACCTCTCCCTTCCATGGTGGGTTTCCATTTGGCTTGGGCTTGCACAGGTTTTGTGCATGCTGTCACAAGGGCTGTGGATTCTTATGTGCAACTGCCCTGTTGTATCGGGAAACAGAGTTTCCTTGTATTTATCCACCACCTCTGGCTCTTAAAATGTTTCTGCCCCCTCTTCCATAATGATCTCTGAGCCTCAGAGGAAGAGAGTGCAAAATAGGTGCCTCATAGGGTCAAGCCCTCCAGTTTCTTATTTTCTGCACATTGATCAGTTGTGGGTCTGTATATTAATCACCATCTGCTGCAGGAAGAAGCTTGTCTGCTAAGAGTTGAGAGGTACACTAATCTATGGATTTAAGTCATTAGGAGTCAATTTAATTCTATATCCATTTAGTGACTAATAGTTGTAGGTTCTCTCCTATGACCTGTGACCTATCTAGCCACAGGTTCTTAGCCCTGAAAAGAGTGCCAGGAATGGGCCCCATCTTGTGAAAGGGGCCTTAAATCCAATCAGAAAGTGATTGGTTACTCCCATGACATTGGTGTCACTATTGCACCAGTGTACATATCTTGCCAGGCCAGTCATTATTGTAGTTCACAGGGTTCAAGCTAGGTAAGGTTAATGATTAATTTTCTCTTCCAGTAGCATGAATAGCATCTTCCAGGACTATGAAACCTAGACAAGTTAAGGCTTCAAGATTAGTACCAGCTTGATTTCTGGCTTTAAATCACCTTTTCCATTTTCCCTGAGGGACTGAGAGCAAGACCTGCTACAGGATTTTTGTCTTCTTGAATGTGAATAGGAGCTCTGATTAGATTTAAGCTTAGATTTGATCTAGATCTAGATTTCCTGCCTTTTGAAGGGGACCGTGATCAACCTTTGCTCTGTGACCTCCATGTGGAGTGGCTTTTTTAAAAATTTTTATTTTTTAATTTTTTAAATATTTTATTATTTTTATTTTATTGTATATGAGTGTTTTGTCTGCATGTATGTAAGTGTGCCATGTGCATACAAGGCCTGCAGAGCCCAGCAGAGGGTGTCAGATCCCCTGGAACTGGACTTATACAGTTATTAGACACCATGTGTGTGATGGCAATCAAACCCAGGTCCTCTGGAAGAACAGCAAGTGTTCTTAACCACTGAGCCCTTATTATTTTTTATGTATAGGAATGTATTGCTTACATGTATATAAGTGCACCCATGTTATGCAATGCCTGCAGAGGTCAGAAGTGGGTATCGGATTCCCTGGGAACTGAAGTTATAGTGTTGTTAGCAACCATGTGGGTGCTAGGAAATTGAACCTGGGTCCTGAGAGCACCCATTGCTCTTAATCGCTGAGCCATCTCTCTAGCTCCTGGAGCAGCTTTTTGAGATACTTGGGGTCTACTATAACTGCTTCTTCAACTCCTGCTTCATGACCTTCTAGAGCATGGTCTAAGTCTGCTTCCAGAATAAGACTACCTATGGCTTCTTCATGGTTACTTTCAATATACCCAATATTTCTACCATTTATTTCTATGCCATCCAGTTTATC